AGTGTTGGGCTGTTGAGATGTTCTTTCCACCACAGGGATGTTAAATGTTGTTATAGTATGGTCACTATTTCCAAGCGGTCCTGTTATAGTTACCTCTTGGACCAGCTCCTGCGCTGCACTCAGGACTAAATCTAGAGTTGCCTCTCCCCTTGTGGGTTCCCGTATCAGCTGCTCCAAGAAGCAGTCATTTAAAGTATCGAGAAATTTTGTCTCTGCATTTCATCCTGAGGTGACATGTTCCCAGTCAATATCGCGATAATTGAAATCTCCCACTATTATTGAGTTTTTAATTTTGATAGCCCCTCTAATTTCCCTTAGCATTTCATCATCACTATCACTGTCCTGGTCAGGTGGTCGATAATAGATCCCTAATGTTATATTCTTATTAGAGCATGAAACTACTATCCATAGAGATTCTATGGAACATGTGGATTCACTTAAGATTTTTACTTCATTTGATTCTACATTTTCTTTCACATATAGTGCCACTCCCCCCCCGCACGACCTGTTCTGTCCTTCTGATATATTTTGTACCCCGAAATGATTGTCTCCCATTGATTGTCCTCAGTCCACCAGGTTTCTATGATACCTATTATATCAATATCCTCCTTTATCACGTGGCACTCTAGTTCACCCATCTTATTATTTAGACTTTTAGCATTTGTGTATAAGCACTTTAAAAACTTATCACTGTTTATTTGTCTGCCCTTTTCTGATGTGTCCGATTCTTTATGTGAATGTTTCTCATCTGATCTGGCCCTTACATTATCCTCTTCCATCCTCTGCTCCTGACTAGAACCTAGAGAATCTCTATCAATAGAATCCTCTAAGAGAAGTCTCTGTCCGAAGCACATGCTCCTCTGCAGCAGTTAGCTTTCCCCCATCTCCTAGTTTAAAAACTGCTCTACAACCTTTTTAATGTTAAGTGCCAACAGTCTGGTTCCACTTTGGTTTAGGTGGAGCCCATCCTTCCTGTATAGGCTCCCCCTACCCCAAAAGCTTCCCCAAATATTCTCCAGCTCACTCTTCGGAAAGCAGACTTCCTATTTTTCATGCAGTGTTTTGGTGGACACCTTGAAGGCCACAAGGTTCAGATTCCAGAGATCTTATTTTAACATGACACTGTTCTCTCAAGTAAAAGTACGCCAACTAACACACATTAATTGCTGTGTCAGGGCTGTCCTTGCTCTAGGACACAGAATACAGGCAATGGGGGCAAAACTCTGGTCTTTGAGAAAACAAGCTTTCTAACACCAATCTTTCATCACGCATTAGACTGTGCAGCAGATACATGGGAAATGTATTCCACACTGTATTAAACATGCTCTATTAGCATATCTATTAGATCTAAATTAAAGCACATTTTCCCCACTATAAATAGTTACCTTGTATATATCAGGCAGATTTTAAATGTGTGACTTAAACCGTTCTCGTAAAGATTTAACTGTCATTAAACATAAGTGTTAATGGACTCAATTGTTGTTTGTCAATTACAAATACATAGATCCCAAGACCTTGTCAGGATCAGAATGCTGGTAGCACCGATGCTAGCCCAGTGGGGGCCCTAAGCAGGAATATTTTTGGAGCCTCCCCCACACAACACATACTAACAATTAATGGGGGTAGCGGGAGGCCCTAAGCAATTCCTTAGTTTGCTGATGCCTACCACCAGGACTGGCTACCATGGTAACAAGGTTTCTCCACTGACCTAATTTTGTAGCAGAAGTTATTGAAATAGAAGGAACATTCATCAATGAACAAAAACCAAAATCAATGTAACGTTTCATACATTGTGTATGGGCTCGGTTAAAAAAATGGGAGAGAAAGTTAAAACAGAAAAATAAAAGTAATCATTTTACATTATACGACAAGTTCTGATATATGTTACATAAACTAAAATAAGTATCATACAATCATTTGAAGTATAGACCTTCCTTCCTATGCGGGAGTGATGGGTCTTTATTGAGTTAAGTTTTATGGTCTCTGATATTCAGTCATGTAAAAACATCTTCCTACGGTATAGATGGGCTGAATGATTCAATTTAAACAGGAAATTCTTTCCTATATTATCCTGAACGATCTGATTTTGTGGCCAAAAAACTGAGCAGTTGACCATATCATCTCCCTCAACAATGGAATCAGCAATAGGTCTTATATCTCTCAACTCCTGCATTGGATGAAACAGGATGGTGAGCCTCGCTTTGGAAATCCTCTCCACTCTATTTAGATATCTGTGCTGTAGGTTCTCATTACTCTTGATATTTCCTTCTGAACACACATGGGCCATGTAGTGATAGAGCTCAGTGACTTCTCTCTCTCTCTCTCTCTCTCTCAATATTTGGTCCACTACCATAGGTGGGAGAAGTCAGACTTCCAGGGCAATAATTGCCAGGATCACTTTTCTTTCCTTCTTTCACTTGCTCATATGGGCAGAAGAGGTAAATGATGCCTGAAGATGGAGTAGAGTAGAAGAAAACTGAAGTATAAATGCTATAGAACAGATGTAGCCAAATTGCGGCTCGTGAGCCTCTTTTACAGTTAAATTGCAGCTCGCGGAGCCCCCCCACATCCCCATTCTCCATCTACCAGACTGGGGGCGGGGACTCAGGGCTTCTGCCCAGCGTCAGGATGGTGGGCCTCGGGGTTTCAGCCCCGTGGAAGGTGCGTGCTGGGCCTAAGGGCTTCTGCCCTGTTGGGGGGGAAAGCTCGGGGTTGGAGCCCCGGCTGGTGCTTCAGCCTCATGGGGTAGGGGCCCTGGCCGGCACGCCTGGCTCTCAAACATCTGAAGATTATCATATGCAGCTTGGACGGTCAGTAAGTTTGGCCATCCCTGCTATAGAATTGCAACTGGCTTGTAGATTAGGAGACAAATAGAAGGTTCCATTCATGGAAAAAAATTGGTATGGGAAAAAATGAAAGTGGAATATAGTATCAATTACAGGCAGACAAATTTTACAGTGGAATTCCTAGAGAGAAAGTGATTTAGAGGGAAGGAGTTCCCACACAGATTGGCAGCACAAGTATAATAGTAACACCTTCCCCACCCCGTGAATTTTGTAGAATCTCAGGGGAAATAGAAGATGACACAACTGGATAAGCAAAAGCCCCAATCCTGCAAGCACTGATGCACATGCTTAGAAATAAGCATGCTTGTCAGTTGTTGCAGGATTGGGTCCCAAGTGAGAAGGTATGGATTAAGTGGATGAGAGATTAGATATTAAATGGAATGACTGTATACAGAATTAGGAAAGACAGGAAAGAGGTTTTTAACTGGATTCACAGATGGAAAAGAAGCGACTGAAAATGACACAGGAAATAATTTGCTCATAATTGTCTAGATCTTACAAAGTTTAAAAGAGCAGGAGTTTAGGAAAACCATAAAAGGAGAAATTAAAGTAGTGATGACAAAATGTGATTAAGGAATGAATAAGAGATTTTATCAGTTTCATGGTATGGATGAGTTCTAGACAAAGGTGGTGCAGTAAGAAGAGAGATTGGAGTCAAGGAGAACTAAACAATTCCTGATACTGGGAACAAACTTCAGGTTTGAATTAAAGAGACCATTCCACATTGTTAACTATCCAAGAGGATTTTGTAGAAAAAGAGCACTTCTGTTTTTGAAGCATTTGGTATTAATCTAGAATTTGAAAGAGTCAAAAGCAGCAATAGTTAGAAAGATGGGCTATAGAAAGATGAAAGTGCAAGTCAACAGAGATGTAGATTGGGGTTCATTTGCACTGAAGGAGCATCTGAGACTGAAGCAAACAATGTGATACCCAAAAAGAGAAGCAGATGGTTGAGGTGGAGCCTTGAAGCTCTCCACTCAAATAACCTGAAGGAAAACAGTAATTTTCTCTGTACCAATGAGATTGTTCCATGCCAAAAACATTACGTGTATGAACTAGATTGTAAGCTCTCTGGGGCAGGCATCATATCTTCTTATTTGCTTAGAAACTGCAAAACAAACTAATGGAGTTCACCACCACCACCAAATACCACACAAGAACATGATTGGTAGGAGAGTATTTAAAAGATGAAGAGGAGAGTGCCCAAGATACCATTTTTTACTTGACATACTCAAGGATAAAAACTGCATAAAAAACTGTACAGAACAAACAAGATGAGAAGAGGGGTATCTGTGATTAGAGGCAAGTGTACTGTAGGTCATTAACCAATCCTCTTATTAAATAATGGCAGCCAAGTGGTACACTAGTTAGACCAACTTTTCAATGATCCAATACATACAAAATGTATAAATCCTGTAACAAGGAATCATACATAACAGAAGGGCCAAATCTGAAAAGTATTCCGCATCCAGCAGCTCCCATTGTTCTTAATGGGAGCTACCAGGTGCTGAACATTTTTGTAAATCTGGCACAGAAGATACTACTGAAGGGGAATAGATTGACAGATGCCACTATTAAAGAGCAAAGACTAAAATGAGTTAGCTGGTGACACCACACATTACAAACAAATTTTGATTTCATTTTATTTTTAGAGGACAAAGACTTAAACCTGTATAAAAGTCATTTTTAAAAAATCTGATACAAACTCACTTCCTACTTACGGGCAGTGCTCTGTAAGTGCTATAATACTGAAAAAAGTGGCTCAGCTAATTGGCTACTATTTGGTGTATATGCAAAATACTATAGGCTAGTTAATTTAGATACTAAACACCTTTCACATTAATCTGTTTTAAAATGCTGTACTGCAGATAGATATAGTTATTTCCAAGAATATGGTGTTCAGGACACTCAAAGGAAAGTAATTTCCTACTCCAAAGTTAAGTTGCTAAAAATGAATAATAGTGAAGAATCAGCAGCGTTTTCTCCTGGTAAGTTTTGCCTACACAGATTTCCTGATGATATCCAATTTCTGTGATAGAAAAACATCAAGAAGTTTTAATGTAGGAAAAAAGATTACTCTAGGAGAGAGACTAGAGGAGTGTAACTGCACTTACATTCTGAAAAAATATTTTACCCTGACCCACAGATGCTTACCAAAGGTGCAGCTCTTGTTGGCTCCAAACTAGGCCTAGGTGCTGTTGAGTACATGTAGTTAAACAGACGATCTATTTTTCTCAGAGGGACACCACCTCCTTGATCACTTATCTACAGAAAAAAGTCAAGGTTTTACTTGAACACTCAATATCTGCTCAGGAACAGAAAGTTCAAGCATCAAATACAGACAAAGGATTATTTAAATTACTTGTATAAACATTAATACAAATGGAATGAGTGCCAGAACCTATACAGAGTACATAATTTAGTCCTTGTAAAATTAAAGATAAATTTATCAAAAACATTACTAATGTGAGCATTACTTTGAAAGTCAGTTCAGCAATTTAAAAATATTATTAGTTTACCTTTATGGATAGATCTTCTTTCCCCAAAGTGACTAATGTTTTAATTGATGGATAGCCTTCTTTCCTACCTTCATGTAATTCCACTGTAGCTCTCATTGAGTTCTAAAGTTAAAACCATATGTTTTAGATTCTGATATATTCTCCACCTCAACTTTACCATAAATACTTTTAGTAACAATGTACAAATCGGATACATTTTCACTGTGTTATTCTGAAAAACTTGTGAATAAAACTGCCCTAAATTTGTATACATGGATACGGAAGAGGGTATACCTGAGTGAACTCAAGATGTACTTGACAGCAAGTCAACTATCAATTTATTACATTTTTATATTGTAATAGTTTACTGTAAGTAACTTAATATTTCTATTGGATACAATACCATAAAGCACAAAACAATACAGTAGAACCTCGGAGCTATGAACACCAGAGTTACAAACTGATCAGTCAACCACAAATCTCATTTGGAACTGGAAGTACACAATCAGGCAGCAGTAGAGACAAAACAAAAACAAAAAAAAGAAGCAAATACAGTACAGTACTGTGTTAAATGTAAACTACTAAAAAGATAAAGGGAAAGCAGCATTTTTCTTCTGCATAGTAAAATTTCAAAGCTGTATTAACTCAATGTTCAGTTATAAACTTTTGAAAGAACAACCGTGTTTTGTTAAGAGTTACCAACATTTCAGAGTTACCAACATTTCAGAGTTACCAACATTTCAGAGTTACAAACATTTCAGAGTTACAAACAACCTCCATTTCCGAGATGTCCGTAACTCTGAGGTTCTACTGTAAAGAAATGTATTTCTACATTAAATATACCAAGACCGCCCACCTCCACAGTACAGAAATTAACACTTGTATTAGTCATATAGATGAAATAAATCACTATACTTTGAAAATGACAAGTGCAAGTATAGTAAAGCCTTGATGTGCCTGACCCACATCAAAACTGTTATGTTGCAGTCATTTAATCAACGCAATTTGCACTCACAGTACATCACAAATGTAACACCACTTAAAACTACTACTGTGTGTTTGACTTTTATATTAGTGCATGAATGATATTTTATAGTTTTACAAACACATCTACAGCATCACTCCACAAATTGGCACCAACTCTGTCTTAGAGAAAGTCACGTATCATATAGCTCATGACCGGACAGGGGAAAGATAGCAGTCAAGTACGTGCATATTAACGGAGAACACAAAAAGAAAAATATATTCTTTGGAAAAACTCCACATTGTTTTCTACTGAATTTATTTATTTTCTTTAATTTATAAAATGTGCCCAATTATGCCTTTTAGGGAACTTGCGCATTATTTCACAAAACATACAATTTTTGCAGTTTAATGTCTCTCCTATTCTCTCTGCTTTACAGTTTAACTTGTCAGATATTCTGAAAATTAGTAAACAATTTTTTAAAAGTTACACCATTCAAAAAGAAAACTGACATCCCTCAAGAGGAAAACTAGCACCCACCCAAATATCCCAGCATTTAAACCATCCAATAAGGCACAAATCCTGAGCAAAATAATAAGGTCTTGTACTGTACCATGAAGGTTAGTGTTAGAAATTTTACCACAAGCTGTTTTGAGTTAACCAAATGCAGAAAAGGGTACAACCATCACTGGAGTGTAAATGAGTGTGAAGTGTGTGCACTAGGGAAGGGCTCAAGGGCTAACTTTCATCACATCACTCCAAACTTTCAAAAACAAAAAATATGAGAACACGAGGAAGATTTTTTTTTGCAAACATTATGGCTGAGAAGAATCTTAACTACAACATGCAATTACAATCAGAGCATTAATAAATCTTGCCTACCTTGAACAACTCAAATAGCATATGAAACAGATGTGAGGGTACATAGACTACTTGAATAGGCTTGTCTGGAGCTTTAGCTAGAAATAAATAAAACTTCAGTTAGCTAAAAAGTTTTTTCAACATATTCCCCTTGTGGTATCACAGTTCACTCCATCTACTGTAGTAAGCTGAATTTGTAACAAATAAAGACAACTGTATAACTGTTCTCTCTCACTTTCCAAACGTGTAATAGCAGAACTTGAAAACATACTTCACAATTAAACACAGAATGCAGTCATATCAGAAGATAAGTAGAATGAGGCCTGGTAATTACCTACACAAGGTAACTCGGAGGAAAGCAAATGCAGCTGCTGGAAGTGATATTTGATTCATCATGCAGCACTTTCCCCTCAGCATCAAGTATTAAACAAATACTCCTCTATGTTAGGGTGCTCCTACCACTGGCATCACTTTATTTAACTAATTAACTTCTTTGCTGTCCTAGAAGGGAGAGTAATTAGGAGGGCAAGGAAAGAGACATCTCTGTATATGATCTTTGTAACTCAATTTAAAATCTTATCTATTGACTAAACAGCTAGCAATTATATTTGTTCTATTAAACTTATATACCCCCCTCCCCAGTATTTCCTAGAGCACTTAAAATAAAATGAACTTCCTATTACCATTGAATTCTTCAACTTCCAACTCTGGTGCAACCAGATAGTACTGCTCACACAACATCTTAGCTGTTTCATAAGCATCTGTGAAAGAATAAAGCAGCATACTTTATCCTGAATTCTGCATTTATGCAAAAATGCTAGCAATGTTCATTCACCATCTCAGAATAACAAGGCTGCAAGCAGATATCTTTTTAGGCACTGATTTACAAGTCTGAAATCAGTGTGCATTTTCATGTTATTTTTACTGTATATCTATGTTCCCATCCCCCAAGAAAGGGCACATTATCTTAAAAAAGGATTTACTATTGGAAGTACTGAGTTATATGGGTTGTGCATGTAGAGGCAAACAACAGTCATCTTGCCTTGGGCCAAAGGGTGGGTTACAAGTTCTGGCAACTCTGGGATGGTTTAAGCAGAGTAGGTGAAAGCAGTTGAGTATAGGCTAGCTGCTGTTCACTAAGCCTGCCCTCAATTGTTTTTTATTTAGAGAAGATACAGTCTGACAGTTTCTCCCACTGTATCCACGTGCTGTGTTGCCACACTGCTTCAAATCCTCTGGAAGGATAGAATGTTACACAACATACGTTTGGGTAGGGTTACCATACGTCCGGATTTTCCCAGACATGTCCGGCTTTTTGGGATTCAAAT